AGTCCCCAACCACCACGATAAAGTGAGTCACACAATTTTTTGTAGCATGTGATACTGTTTCACCTGTAGGTGGAACTTCTTTCAAAATTGGAGCCAGTTCTCTCAAACCCTGCCACTGCTTTATCAAGTAAGTTTAGTATTCTAAATCCTCTTGTTATTTCAACAATGTTTACAGCATCTCAGCTGGAATCTATGAGTACGTAGATTCCATCTCAATAAACTGCTTTGGCAGTTTCCATCCATAAGAAATAACTCATTTGTTAATTTTATCATAAACTTGTAGCAGCTCAGTCAGATCTTCAGGGTTCACTTCTGATTCTAGTTCTCTTGCTATTTCCATCGTATCTGCTTACTTTCTCAGCTGATCTTGATTCCACACTTTTCTTAATGTTGATATTTTAACCTCTACCTGTGACCCATGAATGTTCATAATAGGGTCTAGAATGGTGAATGCTTTCCAAAAAGTTTTCAGTTTACTTTGCCTGGATCCATCAGAGGAATTTCTATGAGAGACCGCTATAGTCTTACAAAATGAGATTCTCAAAAAAAGACTTGAAAGTCAGAATTACTCCTTGACCCATGAGTTGCAGAATGGATGTTGTGTTATCTGACATAAAAATATTAATCTTATATATCTCCATCAGAGCTCTTGGATGATGATCAGGTACTTTGTTAGTGACCAGTTTTTTATTTTTTTAAAGAATCTTTTATTCTGACCAGGTCACAACACTGGGTTTAAAATAGTCAACAAAATTGTAAACAGATGTGGTGTTGTCCAAACTTCATTGTATTTATAGAGTATAGGCAGAGTAAATTTAGTGTAATTTTTTTTTTTTTTTTTTTTTTTAGGAAAATTCTTGACTTGCAGTCCTCTTACCTTAACCACCCACATGCTGGGATTGAAGGCATGCACTACCATGCCTGGCTGACTTAGTGTAAAGCTGGCCTTGAGCCCACTATGTAAACCAGGCTGGCCTGGAGCTCACAGTGATCCTCCCACCTCAGCCTTCCAAGTGCTGGGATTACAGGTGTGTACCAGTGTACCTGGCTTTAGTGTAATTCTTCAAAGCATTGCAATTCTCAGAATGATGAGCATTGACTTCAATTTAAAGTTATTCTGACAAGAGTCAGCCTATCTTCTGATACTCTGAAGCCAACCATTGACTTCTCCTCTTTAGCTATGAAACTCCTAGGTGGCATCTTCATCACCTTTGTCAGTGATCTTGCTGCGGCTTTTACCTTGGTACTTGTTGTTTCAACTTGGACTTTTATAAGTAAAAGAGAAACAGCTTCTTTTAAATATTGGGAGCCAGCCTCTACTATCTTCAGCCTTTGCTTCTGTAAGCTTTCTTCTCTCACCCTTCATAGAATTGAAGAGAGTTAGGATCTGGCACCGGATTAGGTTTTGTCTTAAGAAAATATTGTGACTGGTTTGATCTTCTATCTAGACCACTAAAACCTCTCACTATATCAGCAATGAAGTTGTTTTGCTTTCTCACTCATGTGTTCATGGGAGTCACACTATTGATTTTCCTTCAAGAACTTTTTCTTGCATTTACAGCTTGGTTATCTTTTTGGTGCAAGAGGCATAGCTCTCATCCTGTCTCAGCTTTCAGCGTGCCTTTTCCACTAGGCTGAGTTATTTCTGGCATTTGATTTAAAGCTAGAAGAGAGCTTAGATTTAAAGCTAGAGAGATATGTGGTTCTTCCTTTCATTGGAAACTTGGATTAGGGTTATTAACTGGCCTATTTTCAGTAATCGTATCTGCAAGAACAGAGGCTCAGGAGAGCTGGATGGGACTTGGCCATCAGTGGTCAGTCAGAGCACATGCAACATTAATTATTTCTTTTTTTCCTTCTTTTATGGTTCCAGGTCATGTTGCTCCCAAAACAGTTACAATAATTACATCAAAGATCACTAATAAGTTAATCAGATACAATAATAATGAAAATTTTGTTGAATTACTAGAATTACCAAAATGTGACATAAAAACATGAAGCAAGGAGGTGCTGTTGGAAAAAGGTACTGACAGACTCTCTCAATAGAAGATTGCCACAAGCTTTTAATTTATGACACGTAGATTTGACTATAATCAGACCTTTCACATTCTAATATTTTTTGCATCCAATAAGTCATAACTTTATTAGTGATAGAAACAGTACAGACTTCAAACCAAACTGCTGTGACTTTTTTGAAACACGAAAAAAGTCCTCCTTTCAGATGGTTGCGAGGTTAGCTCCACAGTAGCACTTGGGACATCATTGCTTTTGTTCTTCAGGGCTTGGACAGCCTTGCCCTCCACACAGTTGCTTGTGACATAACCGATTCTATGTCCTTAACTTCCATGCCTGTTTTATCAGCCTCTTCCTCTTCATTCTCCTCTTGTACAGTTGGAGTCTGTGTATTTTCTTAAATGTTTGAACTTTGAATTTCTATTTTTTTTCTCTCATGAGTTTATTGGTACATTTTAGGTATACAGTACAGTTCCATTCATCATTGGGATCTTGTACCTCTACATGTCAGGTCTTGGTTCTCATTTTTTCCCCTTGTCCCTGCCCTCCCTTCACCCCCTCCTCCCCTCCCCATTTAAAAACACTTTACTTCCATTTTTTCATTTTCTCATATTTTTTCATTTGCCTTATTACCTTTCCCCTACCCTTCCCACTTTCCCTACACCTTTAGCCCTTTTCTTCCTATTTTACATTGTCAATTATCTCATTAGGATCTTATGTACTATTATAGTTTTTCACACCAGATAAACTATTTGGTATTTACACATGTGTGACTTATTTATTTCACTTAGGAGTATATCCTCAATATGTATCCATTTTCCTATGAATGAATCTAATATCATTCTTTATGGCTGAGTACTATTCCATTTTATAGAAAAACCACATCTTTATCCAATCTCCAGCTGATGGGCAAATGGGCTGTTTCCAAATTTTAGCTATTACAAACTGTGCCGTTATAAACATAGGTGTGCATATATCTCTGTGATATGATTCTTTTAATTCTTTTGGAAAGCTACCCAGCAGAGGGATGGCTGGGTCAAATGGAACCTCTAGTCCCAGCTCTTTGAGGTATCTCCATATTGATTTTCATAGTGGTTGCACCAGTCTGCACTCCCACCAATAATGGAGAGGGGTTCCTTTCTCCCCACAACCCTGCTAGCATTTGTTATTGTTTGATTTCTTGATAGCAGCCATTCTTTGTGGGGTGAGGTGAAATCTCAGTGTTGTTTTCATCTGCATCTCTTGAATGACCAGTGATGTAGAACATTTTTTCATGTATTTGCTTGCTTCTTTTCCTTCTTTGTCTGAGAAATGTCTGTTCATTTCAGGTGCCCATTTTTGAATCGGGTCTTTATATTTGGGGGGCCTGATTGTTTAGAGTTCCTTTATATAGTCTAGATAAGAGCCCTTTGTCTGAGGAGCAGCTGGTAAAAAATTTTTCACACATTGTAGGTTGTCTTTTAGTTCTGTTGATAGTTTCTTTTGCAGTACAGAAGGTTTTCTCTTGAATGTTTGAGCCTTGAATTTCTCAGCAGCTGTTGACTGTGCTTACTGAGATAAATCTTCCTTATCTTGGCTTCCCCAAAAACTATGTAGGTATCTGAAGCTGGACTTTTGCAAGCATCTGGTTTCGTTGGGACAAAGAGGTCAGTCTTAGGTTTCCAGATAGTAGCTCTACGAACTCCTGTAACCTGCTGAAGACCCAGTTGGACATAGCCTTCCATGCCTTCTCTTTTCTCTCAAGCTGTTTTGCTTTACTGACTGGTTCTTCACTGATTTCAGCTGCTGCCGCCAGCTGGGCTTGTTGTGTGGTTGCTTGTGTGGAATCTTGCTCCTCCAGCTCTGGTACTGATTTGTCACTGTCAGATCCTGTTCCAGACCCTGTCTCAGCCTGGGGCTGTGGCAACTTTGCTCTGCGGCAGAGAAGGTTTCTATGGCTTTGCCGGCATTTTGTGTGGAGAATGTGGAATCAAGATGGTGGCAGCTCATTCTAACATTTCTAAAGATGATTTGAAGTCTGCCTTAAACCAACCAAAACTTTTTTTCTGCAGAACAATTTTAATTGTAATGTGTTCATTATTCCCCACTTTTGGTAAAATACTTGTGTAACACAGAACCAAGTGTCAGATATATTTTAAATAGAAACTTAGACAAAATTGGGAATATCTTGTTTCTTAGTATTCCGATAAAGATGTTAGTACACTAAACCATGAAAAAGAGAGATGTGGGCATTAGTACATGGGAGGGGTCTATGTGCTGGCTCACAAGGACTGATTGTGCACATCCCTTCCTAGTTCCATTTCAGTGATGTGTTGGTTCCTTTAAATTGTCTATAATGGGACTGTTCCCAACAGAAAGTCAGCAAGCACTACAATTGTGTAGTGCTTCACATCACCCGTCAGTTAGTTGTTCAGTCTTTATTAGCACACAACTGTATTTCAGCAGACATCAGTCAGTTATGCAGGAACCTCCAGAACTCCCGTTGGAAGTGTGATTTCTGTCTTTTGAGGTTAACTTCTGTTCCTGAAAATGTCTTTCTCTGTACAATACAACAGCTGTCCCAGATACCTTCCAAGTTTTACATACAGTCCCTTTTCTGACACTGTAGAGTCACTCACTTTCTCCATTGCAGTTTGCAATGATCTGAGTTGAGAGTAGGGAGCTTGGAGGTGTTGAGCAGGAGTCAAAGGTACATAGGCCACATTCAGACTGTGAACATCTTAAAGTAGTTGTATGAATAGGAATCAGTTTCTTAAGAAAGTAAAAGGGCCCAGTATGAAGCAGACTGTTCTGTGATATTTACTATACTTGCTAAAATATAACATTTGGCTAAATCAAAGTACATAGTTCCATAACATTAGTTATATGGACTTATTTTAAACATGAATAAAAAAAATGGTTTTTGAAACACTTTAAGACATCTATTTTTCAAAAACATTTTGTAATTCCTACACTGATTTTATTAAAATATTTTTGTTGTTGTTTAGGGTTTGAACTGCAGTTCCGATTAGGCCCAACTTTGCAGGGAAAAGCAGTTACTGTGTATACAAATTACCCATTTCCTGGAGAAACTTTTAATCGAGAAAAATTTCGTTCCCTGGATTGGGAAAACCCAACGGAAAGAGAAGATGATTCAGATAAATACTGTAAACTTAATCTGCAACAGTCTGGATCATTTCAGTATTACTTCCTTCAAGGGTAAGTTAGGTGTAACGTGTTTAGGAAAAAAAATTAATTTATTTTGTGACCTAATGTTACTCTATGAACAAAGGCAGTATAGTTTTTTGCATTACTTTCTTGAGATGCAAAAAGAATATGGTTCTTCAATTTCTAGGAAGTTACTATATGATCCATTTTAGAGTCAAAGTATTTCGTAAATTTTTAAAAGTAGCCTTTTCCTGCAACATGATTATAGAATGCTGTTTATTTGAGTGCCCTTGCTATTACTGATAGGATTTGACACATTTATTTTTCATTAAACCTACTGTGTTATGTAATCACGTAATTGAGTAAAAACAGCTTCCATTTTGTTGTACCTTTGTAAATTATTTTTTGTGCTTAGAAACAAATACATTTTTAAATCGGACAATTAACCTCCTGGAGTCTATTAGAAGAGGATGTTTTTCCTTTTCACTAATTGAAAAGTTGTTTTGTTTTTTTCCTCTTAGAAATGAGAAGAGTGGTGGAGGTTACATAGTTGTGGATCCTATTTTACGAGTTGGTGATAATAATCACATGTTACCCTTGGACTGTGTTACTCTCCAGACATTTTTAGCTAAGTGTTTAGGACCTTTTGATGAATGGGAAAGCAGACTTAGAGTTGCAAAAGAATCAGGTAATGACAGCTTCCTTTACTTTTTCCTTTTCTTTTTTTAAAAAGTCAATGTAATTATCCTCTAATATTGTTTTTCAAGTTGTATTTTTCTTTTAATTTTGTTTCTTAATATATTTAGTAATATAGATAAACTGTATGAAATTTTCTATACTTGACCACTTTTAATCCTATAAAAATGGCAAGTCCTATGGTTTAATTTAATACTTGCAGGAACTGATAAACTGACATATTTCTAAGGTTTTGTTTTCAAATATGAAAATTAGTAGTAAACTATTCATATTGTTCATTTTTGACTTTCAAGTTGAATATAGTGTGAAGAAAGAAAAGTTCACTGATATAACTAAGTTCTGTGAATACAAGTATTGTAGAATATTAGAAGTAGGAAAAATATATATATTGATATACTTGCATGGGAAATATATCCAACAAATAAAAACCAAACCAGGCTGGGGATTTGGCTCAGTGGTTCTGCCACCTGCCTCTCAAGCACAATGTCCTGAGTTTGATCCCTGGTACCAAAAGTCAAAACAAAACCGCTAATAATAACTAAGCATTATGTGTAATTTTGTTTCAAATATATTATCTCATTATCCCTATCTTGTGAGGCCACTGATAATGTTAAATGATTTAGGTGTATAACGAGTAGAATTTGAACCCATGTCTTTGACACCTTTTCTAGTAGCGTGATTTCCTTCTTATTTATAATTAAAGTTTACATTTATATTTTGCTCAGTTTTAGGTTAGTCATGTTTTTTCTTACAGTAGTCCTTGTTTTCTTGCTTTGCAGGGTACAATATGATTCACTTCACCCCACTGCAGACACTTGGACTATCTAGGTCATGCTACTCCCTTGCTGATCAGTTAGAATTAAATCCTGACTTTTCAAGACCCAATAGAAAGTATACCTGGCATGATGTTGGACAACTAGTGGAAAAACTGAAGAAAGAATGGAATATTCTTTGTATTACAGATGTTGTCTACAATCATACTGGTATGACCTTCATTAATTTTGATGTGAATATTAAATTCTAATCATTTTACTCACTGATACATAGACACACACATTTGCACTATACTACACCCCCATCCCTTATATAAAATGCATTTTAAAGAAACAAGTGCTTATTAAATGTTCTTCAGTTTAAAAATCCATTTTGTATAGTGTCACTTTTTCTTTTAAAGGAAACAACATTAGTTGGAAATATAGTTGATATATAACTACTTTATATGTGATACTTACAAAAATAGAGTGATCATAGAAGGGACATAATAATCACATATTTCAATTTGGAGTACTAATACTTTCCATAATAAACTCTATATACCAGAAGTTCTAGTCCTATAGGATATATGAATGACTTCTGTGAAAATCACTGGTTAGCTTTCCAAAGTTATATATTTTACATGTTAAGGGCCGGGGATATAGCTCGGTGGTTGTGGTGCCTGCCTCACAAGCACAAGGGCCTGAGTTCGATCCTTGGTACAAAAAAAAAAAGAAATGGCCAGGCATGGTGGTGAATGCCTGTAATCCCAGCACTCAGGAGGCAGAGGCAGAAGGATCACTGTGAGTTCAAGACCAGCGTGGGCTACACAGTGAGTTCCAGGTCAGTCTCAACTACATAGTGAGACCCTGTCTCAAAAAAAAAAAAAAAAAAAAAAAAGAGTAAAGTTATCCCATTTTGGTTCCCAAGATAACATTATTTATATAGAATCCTAGAAAATATATAAAATTTTCTCAGCTGACGATTCTCAAGGAATAGTTGTTCCCCTTACCTATCAGAGCAACTGAACCTGATCTGGTGAAGCTTCTATCCATGAGCTTATAGTTTAATCCAGTGTACATTACAAATACTGTCTTCTGTGTGTGCCACAATGTAGGTGGACACTACTGACTTGCATACGTAAAGAACAGAAATTCTGGATGGTGTAAAGATTTAAGTGGAATCATTGTTTTGTATTTTCCAAGAAACCATAGAAAATATGAAAATGTTTTAAGATTATAGATCTGGTTTGTCAGTATAGACAATGTATCATGCAGTGCTTACTAGAGAAACAGACTTAATACAAGATATGCAAATAAATAAGAATTTATAAGGTTGGCTTACAGTGGCCACACAAAGTCAGATGTGGAAGAGTGCACAGGGTCTGTCTACACACTGGAGAGCTGAAGGATCCAGTCAGAGGCCTGGAGCTTGCTGTAGTGTCCCATGTGAGTCCACACATATCAGGAGGCCAAAGAGCCCACGATGGAAGGCTGAAGAGTCTCTGCTGGAAGCCAGGAGGTGATTCCAAGGTGAAGACTGGGCACCTCTGAAGAAACAGCAGCGAGTCTTGCTTTGTTTCCCTTTTATTCGCTTCAGGTTACAAGCCTACTGGTTTGGGCCACTCACTCATACCCAGGATGGGGTTTCTGTCTTCTGTAAATCCCTTCCGCCGCACCCAGAACTATGCTGATCCGATTTAGTTGGGTGTTTCTTAGTCAAGTGACCCAATGAGTTAACTATCACAGACAGTAATATCCAGTAATAATGGCAAATCTGCATGTACCTGCAAATCAGGATTCCGTGTCTACAGTGAAAACTCTGACTCGGCAACTCAGTATTTGTCACTTGAAATATTGACAGTATTGATAATTACTTAGACATCTGTAATATTATTCACATTGAGTTTATCAACATAATGACATGTTAGTTACAAACTATAGAATTAGATTACAGCTTAGGCAGCTACATTAGAGACAATACTGTAGCGGTTTAAGATTGAAATTGTATTTATCTCATAAAAGATGAGGTAGGCAGGCGTACTGGGACTAAAATAGCTGCATGGCATTAGGGGATCGGATTCTTTCTCTCATGTTGCTCTGCCATCTCCAGCACTCTGCTTCCAACTCTTAATCAAATATGGCTGCTCTGGTTTCTGTGTCATAAACCCCAAGATTCGCCTCACGTGGCATCAGGTCAGATTTTGTCTCTTAGTCCATGTACTTTTGAAGAAGACTTGAAGTCTTTATTTTGCCGGCCATGTGTACAGCTACACTTTGGGAATTTCATTACTAAAGGAAGAAAGAATAAAAATGGTACAATAGCAGTTTTTGCCACAGATGGTATTTCTGAGGCAGTTGAGAGATTCTGTGCATGTAAAAGAAGTGAACTTTGTCATAGTCTTACCTGGAAACTGTTGCAAATCATAATGTCCTTTCTATGAAACAGGATTTCATTTTAAAAGTTCCTGTTCAGGGGGATCCACTTCCAGAATGGCAGCAGGAGGGCTCCGCACATCCTCTACCCAGTGAAATAGCCACAGTTGATAAAAATTGTTTTAAAATAATCATTTAAAGTCCCCAGAGAAATGTTTGGCATATGGAGAAACAGGAAAATCTTCTAGATCGTGGTGAGAGCAGCAAGAGTCTCACATTTAAACAGACACATACTCCACTGTCGTGTGTCCATGAGCTCGATTGCTGTCTCTCAGATGCTGTATCTGGGTGCTGTAGCCTTCTCCCCCAGCTCCCATTTGGACATAGAATTTCACTCTGCGAGGGTCAGGCTGCCTCTCATTCCCCTGCCCCATGTCACAGAGGCCTTGTGCAGGTGGGCAGCTCCCTTTCTCACCTGCTCCCACTTGTGGCTGGATGTCCTAGTCCAATGTAACAGACCATGAGCACCGAGAACCCAGTCTTGATAGATGGCACAGATCCTTGGCTTTATTATATTGGGTAAGTGTTTCTCAGTGTGCTGAATGCCCTTCCAGAGACAATGATTGATTTTTTAAAATGATTTTCACCAGTTAGTTTGGGGACATATTGAGTCCTTTACTCACCACTCCAGAAGCCTGTGATTAATTTTAATTTTGATATGTTGAAACATAGTTGGGAGTTTCATTCCTCTTTCATGTACAATTTAAAGAAGGATGCATACCCTCATTACCTAATGCTTAGAATTATTTCATTTGATGCTTTATTTGAGAAGAAAGCATTTTAGAACTTTGCCATTAAAACAATTGGGGTGTCAGGATATGGTGGCACGCACCTACTATCCCAGACACTGGGGAGGCTGAGGCATGAAAATCACAAGCTCAGCTAGCCTGAGCAACTTAGCAAGATCCTGCACTGAAAGGGCTGGTAGAGCACATCCTGGTATGCACAGGGCTCTGGGTTCAATCCTCAATACTACATTTTTAAAAAAATTAGAGTAGAACTAGTGATACTTATATATTTGAAGGAGCCTAGTAACTGAAGACAAGCCTGGGTCTCATAGCTAAACTCCAAAAAAGAAAAGCAGGGTGGTGGTGGGGGAATAACCTTAGCATTTATTCATAGCATTTGTATGTATGTATCTGTGTGAAATCAGGCCTTTGCATGTATTAGACAGTACTCCACCACTGGGCTCTGCCTGTAGCCCAGTAAGTGAAAATCCTAACAAGATTTGACCATTGCTACATTTTTTCTTTTTAACAAAAACCTTAAATTTTAGTGAACATAATGATGAATCTAACAAACAGCATCTTTATTTGTTTGTTGGTTTTGTTTTTTTTTTTTTTGAAACAGTGTCTCACTATGTAGTTTAGGCTGGCATGAACTCCCTATGTAGCCCAGGCTGGCCTCAAATTTATGGCAGTCTTCCTGCCTCAGCCTCTCTAGTGCTGGGATTACAGGTGTGCGCCACCACACCCAGAGGACCAGCATCTTGATGCCAATTTTGAAAATTATCAATTTAACTTTTATTGTAAGATTAATGTTCCTTATAAATCCTTCTTCATCTAAGTTTTTTTTTGTGGGCATAAACACTATATGAATAATTTACTAAATATAGAAATAGAAGTAATAATGATTCTAAAAATCTGTAAGAGAGCCAAGGATTTAGCTCAGTGGTACCTCCAACTGCCTTGTAAGCACAAGGTCCCGAGTTCAACCCCCAGTACAAAAAAACCCCAAAATCCTCAAGGGCGCTTAGCTGAGTAAATGAGACCCGCACACATTCATCTCAGTGACAGAGCAAAGAGGTTATGATTCCAGATTCTGAAGAGAGAATTGCCCAAGTTAATTCCTGGCTGGCTGACTTTGGCTGAGTTACTTTCCTCTCTATGCCTCAGTTCTTCATCTTTTAAAGGAACATAATAGCATGTTCTCTATCAAATGGTAGGAAACGAGGGATCATAAACCAGTGCATGTCACTTTTAGAACAATTCCTAATGTGTAGGATGTATGCAGTAATTGCTATTCCTTTTTATTTCACTAACCGCTCTTCTCCTTAGTGTGAATTCAGGGGGCTTAGCCCATTTTAAAATCATACAAGCTTGCCGGATATGGTGGTGCACAACTGTAATTCCAGTTTCTCGGTAGGCTGAAGCAGGAGAATACAGAACTTAGGGCCAGACTGAACAAGTTAGCAAGACTAGTTTTAAAAAGCAGGTAAACTGGGTGTGGTTTTGCATTCCTGTAATCCCATCACATAGGAGGCTGAGGCAGGAGGATTGCCACAAGTTTGAGTCCAGCCTGAGCTACATGGTGAGACCCTGTCTCCAAAATAAAAATCACACTGATGTATATAGATGATGGGTGAGTGGGTGGATGATGGGTGGCTGGGTATCAGAAAAATTGTGTATGAGTCCTCCATTTAAAAAAAATCTTCATAATGTTGTAGGTTATCTTTAATAATTGGAATCTTGGGTCAGGGATTAGCTAGGTGGTTGGTTCCACCACCTGTCTCTCAAGTGCAAGGTTCTGAGTTCGATCCCCAGTATTAAAAAAAAAATTTAAAAATTTTAAAAAATAATTGGAATCTTTCTAAACTCCTGATTCTGGTTCTGAACTTACTGATGCAAATGGATAAGATAAAAACTGTCCGTATTCCTTCAGTATATTTCTTTTAGCAACTTCTTAGCCTCACTTTTCTCTCTCTTATCTAAGCACATATTTTATTAACCCTTATGATTAGCCTATGAGATAACTGATTTTTCTTCCATCAGGACATCCTTTTTTTTTTAATGAGTACATGTTTGCAGTACATAATACATGTCATGTGAAGAATCGGTACCTGTACATAACACATCTTAATTCTATTTTCGTCTTTCCCTCTCCTTTCTCCCTTCATCTCTTGATCCCTTTCCCATTTGAGAAAGCTCTATCTCCCTACTTCCTATTATCTGTCTTTTATTTTACTCTATATAAAAATAGGGTTTCTCATAGAAGAGAAATCATATAATTTTAAGCTTGTATGCCCAATTTATGTCACAACATTGTGGTCTCAAAGTGCAGCCGTATCTACAGATGACTCATTTGTCTTTCTTTATAGCAGATAGTACTCCATTGTGTATAAATATCACATTTTCTTTATTACTAATTGTTGGTGGCACAATTCATAATAGCTAAATATTGGAAGTGACCCATCAGGAGTTTCTAAGCAGTGTTCAAATTTAAAATAGTATGGTGAAATGGATTATAGGATGTCATAACCAAAGAAAATTTTATATGATAGCATCATAAAATATTAATGTCTTAAGATAGAAGAAAATGAATGGTAGATGTCAGTATTTTGTTTTACTTTCGAACTTTGCATAGGTATTTTCTTTAATTATAAAACATTCAGTTTAATCACAAAATATGTGTTTTCTTTTTCTTTAAGCTGCTAACAGTAAATGGATCCAGGAACATCCAGAATCTGCATATAATCTTGTGAATTCTCCACATTTAAAGCCCGCCTGGGTTTTAGACAGAGCATTCTGGCATTTCTCCTGTGAGGTTGCAGAAGGGAAATACAGAGAAAAGGGAATCCCTGCTTTGATTGAAAATGATCACCACATGAATGTAAGTATGTGTAGAAGACGATTACACCAAAATCAGAGTGACGACATTTCTAAAGTACAAACTAAATATGTGGTTGAAAATTATTTATAATACATATTGGAAGCTGGGCACGATGGCACATGCTTTGTAATCCTTGCACTTGGGAGGCTGAGGTAGGAGTATCACTGAGTTAGAGGCCAGTCCTGGGGTATATAGTAAATCCAAGGCCAGCCTGGATTACGGAGCGAAACCCTGACTCCAAAAACAAAATCAAAAACAAAAAAAATAAGTATTTTAAGATGCTAAGCAGTATTTGGTGAAAGGATTCATATTCATGCTTTTTTTTTCACTATTGAAATTTTGTAGTGCATTCGAAAAGTAATTTGGGAGGATATTTATCCGAAGATTAAGCTGTGGGAATTTTTCCAAGTAGATGAACACAGAGCAGTTGAGGAATTTAGAAGACTTCTCACACAAGGTAAAGGATATGAATTAGATCATCCCTATCAATTTTAAGAAATGTAATATTCATATGTGAATCATAACTTTTTTGGTTAACATTATAATTAAATCTGTTTTAATTATATAATATTTTGGCTATAAAGCTGTATTTCTGGAACCTGAGCAGAGACAACTAAAGGGTGTGTCATCATGTGTAATGTAATTGTTTCCCTTGGTAGCTTTATCTTACTGCTGGTTCCTTAGCAGAATGCTTAGATTATACTTATTAAAAATAAGAATGAGAGGGAGAGCATGTTACTTTGGCTGAGAAAGGCTGGAAACAGGCCCTGAATCCGAGATGTGAATCTTCTGCTATTTGTAGTAAGAATCTTAACCAGTGAAGAGGAGCCTCGAGCTGATGGGGCCCATCATGATGGCCACCTAACCACTAGTGAGACTAAAGCCAGATGTTAGTCTGTAACAAAAGATAAAGAGCCAGGCATGGTAGCACTCAGGAGGCTGAAGCAGAAGGATTGCTGTGAGTTTGAGACCAGCCTGAACTGTATAGCAAGACTGTGTCTTAAAAAACAAAAACCCGTCTTCAGTTATGCACATAATTAATCAAGAAGTTAATCAATGTATCCCCAACAAAGTAAGGTAGGAAAAACTGTACTCAAAGAGAATTTAGAGTTGAGACAAATTAGAAAGGATTATAATGAAAGTATTTATTAGTGTAGGATAACCTAGCATTGAGAATCTTCGGAGGCTCTTAAGAAGTTTCCATCTAGAAAACAGACCTAGAGTAGGATCCAGTAATAATGCCTTTGAAGTAGAATTGTCTTGAAATTCAGGAAGCTTAATCAGATTCAGCATCAACTGTTAGGATTGTGTAATACCCTAATACAGGAATTTTTATATTAGCTTTCTTTCATGTTTTATTTTATGAAAGAGTCACTATCCTCCCTTGTCTTTGGTATATTTAAGCTGTAACGTGTATATGCAATAATGTGTATTCATCATAAAGATAAAAAGCAAGCCAGGTGTGTGGTGGTGGCACAAGCCTGTAATTCCATCACTCTGAGAGGCTGAGGGAAGAGGATCACAAGTTCAAGCCCAGCCTGGTCAACTTACCCTCTTAGTGAGACCCTGTTCTTCCTGGGAGTGTAGCCTAGATTTAAACCCTAGTTGGCAGCGGGGGAGGTAAAAATATGATATATGACTTCCCTTCTCCTAAAATTCACTTCTTTTTTTTTCCAATTGATTTTATTGGTACATTTTAGGGATACAGTACAGTTAACATTCATTGTTGGGATCTTGTACCTCTACATGACAAGTCTTGGTTCTCATTTTTTCCCCTTGTCTGTGCCCTCCCTTCACCCCCTCCTCCCCTCCCCATCTACAAATACTTTATTTCCATCTTTTCATTATCACACATTCTTTTCCCTTATTACCCTTCCCCCTACCCATCCCACCTTCCCTATACCTTTAGCCCCTTTCTTCCCATTTCACAATGTCAGTAATCTTATTAGGATCTTATGTATTATTACAATTTATTCACACCAGAGAAATTATTCGGTATTAACATGTGTGTGACTTATTTCACTTAGGGGTATATCTTCAGTGTGTATCCATTTTCCTATTAAAATTCATTTCTTTAGCGGGAACTACAAATTGATGCTTTATGTGTAGGTATGTATGTTTATTTGTTTTGTCTTTTTGAGACAGGGTCTCCCTAGGTAGTCCTGGCTGGCCTTGAACTCACTGTGTAGCCAAGGCTGGCCTCAAACCCAGTGATCTTTCTACCTCGGCTTTCTGAGTGCTGATATTACGTGCATGCACCACTATACACAGTCAGTGTATATTTATTAAACCATCTACTTTCACATGTGTAAATACTAGTTTCTCTGGTATGAAAAATTACAAGTGTAAATAAGATCCAAATTGTAAAACTGATAATGTGAAATAGGAAGAAAAGGATTAAAGGTGTAGGGGAAAGGAAATAAGGGACAAGAAAAAATATGAGAAAAAGAAAAAGTGGAAACAAAGTCTTTATAGATAGTGGAGGGTGGAGGGGGTGAAGGGAGGGCAAGGGTATCGGGAAAAAATGAGAACCAAGATCTGACATGTAAAGGTACAATATCCCAATGATGAATGTAACTGTACTGTATACTTAAAAAGTACCAATAAACTAAAGAAAAAAGAAAAAACAATGAAACCGTCTACTTTGTATTAGGCATTTTTCAGGCATGAAGATTCAGTGGTGAACGTAACAAAATACTTGCCCTAATAGAACTTGTAAGCAGTACTGCAGAAAATACATCTTTTATATGTTATGTTTACTTGCTATATAAATCTGTATAATAAATTTTAAATATAATAGATTTTGTCAAATTGCTTTTTACAACACATTATACCAGCTTACATTATTATAATCAGTATTCAAGCTTATATGATTATAAGCAATACCTTCACCAACATTAGAGACAATCTTTAAAATCTTTGTCAGTCAGGCAAAGCATATCTTATTTTAATTTATATCTTGGGTTATTAAATATTTTCACATGGAAGCTGGTCATTTATGCTTTCTGCATTAATTGATTATTAATGTTCTTAATTTTTCTACTGAACCATTTGCCTCTTTTGTACTGATATATTATTACTAATACTTCCTTCTTATGCAGGCCCCAAATATATTTTCCTATTATACCATTCATCATTTAACTTCTATTTCTTTTTTTTTTTTTTTTTTTTTTTATTGAGTTTATTGGTACATTTAGGGATACAGTACAGTTACATTCATTGTTGGGATCATGTACCTTTACATAGCAAGTCTTGATTCTCATTTTTTTCCCCTTACCTCTGCCCTCCCTTCACCCCCTCCCCCCCTCCCCATCTACAAACACTTTATTTTCATCTTTTCATTCTCTCGCATTTTTTTCTTTTCCCTTTAACTTCTATTTCTTATGTTTTTTTTTTTAATGTAGTCAGTCTTTTAGGGCTTCTGATTTCACATCGTACTTAGAAAATACCTATCAACATTCTGTATTGTCTTCTAATAATCTTATTATATGTTTCTATATTTAATACATTTGGATCATATAAAGGAGGTATGTAACCTTTATCAATGATACTTAAATGATATTTTAAAATGATGTTGAATTGAAAATTCATTCTTTATACTGACTTGAAATTTCACCATAATACTTTATGGTACAGTATATAGTTATATACTAAATATACATTGGTCTATTTTCTGTGTTCCTCCAGTGATCTTTGATTTTTAACAGTACTAAAAACTATTACTTGACACTGATGGTACACATTTATCTCTTTTTCAAACATTTCTTTGCAGTTTTTATATACTTATCCAGACTTTAAAAATTGAATTTTAAATATCTATTTTTCTTTGTTTTATAAACTTTTTCAAAGTATCTGTAACTTAAGCCAAATATGAAATTACTTAAAATAAAATCACTTCCAATGGAAGGGCCGGAGATTTAGTTGAGTGGTTCTGTTGCCTGCCTTGCAAGCACAGGGTCCCGAGTTCTATTCCCCACAACCCCCCTGCAAAAAAAAAAATCATTTCCAGTGGAGACAGTTCAGCATCAATACCTGATTTATTAGGAACAAGTTCCAGAAAAAGAATTAGAATTCCCCCCAAAACCATACATTTCTTTTTTATTATTATTACTTAAATGATATGGTTATAGATGAAAACAGAAAATAATATATAAAAACAAAGCTATGTATTTCTTTCAGAAAATGCAAAGAAAGTTAGATTGTTGTCTAAGACTCATTTTAGAAACAGAAGCAATCTCAGAGGAAACAGAATTCCTGAGGTTAAAATATTTGGTAGTACATACCTGAGAAGAAAGCATTTACTACTAAGTTCTTAATGGTCTAAAAAGGGAATAAATGGGGCCTGGCATTTAGTTCAGTGACCCCACGCCTTCTTTGCAAGTCAGGGTCCTGAGTTCAATCCCTGGTACAGCTAAATAAATAAATAAATAAGTGAATAAATGAATTCTTACTGAAGCAACAACATAGGCCTAATATTGAGCTGATGGAATCCCTACATTTTCCTTTTATAATGATATTTTGTCTCTTTTTGTATAATGCCTGGCCTACCACTCAGGAGGCTGAGGCAGGGGGAACACTGAGAGTTTGAGGCCAGCCTGGACTGCAGAGTGAGACCCTGTCTCAAAAAACAAACAAAACAAATAAACAAAAAGATGGAGAAGCATGAAGGATGCTTGTAAAATAAGGTTTTATTTTTCTGTACAATAATAGTAGACTGCCAACTTAAAGCCAGTGACAATATTCTCCTTGTGGATATTTGCATTTAAGATATAATTTTTTCTTTCTTTTAGAAAATAGGAGAATAACCAAGTCTGATCCAAAACAGCATCTTAAGATTATTCAGGATCCTGAATACCGACGACTTGGCTGTACTGTAGATATGAACATTGCACTAGCAACTTTCATACCACATAAGTATGTTATGTATTTGCCCTGTGAAATGAAGAATAATATAACGTGTGTTCCTTTTTGGCTACTATGACTTTCATACTGCTTATTAAATGAAGTGAAGTACTGCATCCTAATTCTACTACTTCAGCACATGACACCTTCCCATGTCGTCTGTGTGCCGAGTCATGTTTCTGTGCATGTATGTAAAAGTTTTTACATTTGGAACAGTTTTTCAGCCATAATTAAGATCCTGATGATTATATTTAAGGATTCTATGACCCTTGTTAGAAAGTTTTTAAATGTAGCTTTTATAAAACCACTAAATGACTTTGTATCACTCTGTCTGCTCTAGTAGTGGGCCAGCCGCAATTGAAGAGTGCTGTAATTGGTTTCGTAAGAGAATGGAGGAATTAAATTCAGAGAAGCATCAGCTCATACACTACCATCAGGAACAGGTTTTACCTCTTTTTAAACTGTTATTTCTCTTTGAGTCCTAATACTATTTTTGTTGTTGATGATGATATAACATAATTTAATATTTTCTAGGCAGTCAATTGCCTTTTGGGAAATGTGTTTTATGAACGAATGGCTGACCACGGTCCTAAACTAGGTCCTGTCACTAGAAAACATCCCTTAGTTACCAGGTATTCCATTTTTATTTTTTTTCTTCTCAGTTGAAAATTGTATTCAATTTTGCAAGTTAATATAAATGTTTTTTTTTTCAGGATGTTTCTTAAATTATAGTAGATTTAATTCACAAGTAGTATACTTCCTATTAATTTTGTTAGGCAGATCTGTAGTTAAAATATTATCTCTGAGCCAACTTATAAATACTATTTACACTAATGTTTCTGGAGGACTGTACACTAGATATCTTTTCTGTCATTGGAACAGAGAGTGCCTGAGATAGGAACATTTATGGAGAAACAGATTTGTTTTAGCTCAGAGTTCTGGAGCCTGGGAAGTCTTAGAAGCCGGCCTCTGCTCAGCCGGCCTCTGCTCAGCTTCTGGAAAGGGATTTGTGCCTCATCAACAGGACAGAAAGTGAAGGGCAGAGAGCACATACAGCAGAGATGAACATAGGGAGCAGCCTTGCTCTTGACAAAAACCACTCTCATAATAGCTAAACCAGTTCTGAAGAGGGAGAACTCACTCAAGGAAGGCATTGATCCACTCATGTGGGCTCCATCCCTCGCACCCAAAATCTTATCACCAGGCTCCACCTCCAAACATAGAGGGTTAAGGTTCCAACACATCGTCTTTGGGGAGAAACAGTCAGACTGCAGCACTTGCTAGTAATAATTCAGTGTTAAACAAATTGAGCAAGCAGATTGCTCCTTACTTTATTTTAACATGCAGCATAAGTTGGGCAACTGGAAGATAATAAAAGCCTTTGCAAAGCAACAGGAGTATCTCAATTAATTTTCCTGTAATTTTAGGAGATTTAAAAAATTATTTTAATAGTTAGCTGTATAATGGTACAATTTTAAGTCTTCACTCTTCACATCCTACTAGATTAACTCAAAAAGTCTGCTTAGGTATTTGAATTTTACATCCTGGAAATGGTGTCAAACTAATTTTATTTATTCTGCTCATTAGTGAAAAAGTTTAATTTTTAATACTGCAAATTCAAATTCTCTCCAAGGAATTTCTCTTTTGGATTTAATATTTCATTGTATCTCTAGGTATTTTACTTTCCCATTTGAAGAAATGAGCTTATCCACAGAAGAATCTATGATTCACACCCCAAATAAAGCTTGTTTTTTCATGGCACATAATGGATGGGTGATGGGAGATGATCCTCTTCGAAACTTTGCTGAACCAGGTATGTCTTTTTTGACTTCTCTGTGGATAGGGAAAGAAATTCTTGGAAAGTTCAAGATATGATCTGTTTTATAGGGATCTTTCCCCAATGAGGCTAGTTTTTCAACTGTTTCACTACAAGTATCACAGGTACAAGAGAGAAATAAGAAATAAAACTATTTTGGGCAGAACTATAGCTTTAAAGAACCTTGTTGCTATTATCCTTTTTCCTTAAGAAGCAACTTAAATTTTTGAAATTGGGCACACATTTAAAAAACCTACTATAAGCTAGAATTTTGCAAAATAGGTATGAGATATAAATTAATATTTGGCAGAGACGAAAAGTAGTTGACTAAAAGGATGGTATTTATATCCTTTTCTAGCTTATGTCTTCCTACCTGCATTTCCTCAACTGAATATCTTTTGAGCTGGGCTTGGTAGTGCACACTTGTACTCCCAGCACTTGGGAGCCTGAGGCAGGAGAACTGCTGCAAGTTCAGGGTCAGCCTGAACTATATAACAGGACCCTGTCTCAACTGCCCCTCTCAAAAAAAGAAGAGCTTTTATGTATTTAATTCATATTTTGTGAACCTGTATAAGCTATATTATTTGGACAAAATATTACTATGCTTTTTAAAAGTTTGAAAACATTGCTGTTATAGTGCTGTTATATTTTCATTTCATGCACTGGTTCTAAAGTATTTGAAAGACAGTTAAACTAGAAATAATTGTTTCTAGGTTCCCCCTCACTTACTCTTGGCGTCTTTTTTTCCTAGGGAACATTTTGCAGGGGGTGCTTTTTGACATTTCAGAACCCAGAATTTAATTTAGTAACATTAAACTTAAATCAGAATTATTCTGTTCTTTTAAGAATATAACTAAGTAACTTTGGGCTTAAGTATATCTGCCCTCTCTTTTCTACCCATTTTAAATGAAAAAATTCATTCTGCCATATGCCACAGGTTTAATGTAAGCTATTCTCAAAAATGAATAGAAAGGTAGAGATGGAGCTTTAAATATTTTTTGTTAAAACTATAGTTTTTAAGAGACTGTGATATTACTATTACTATTTTTGTTTTAAGAAACAATTTGAATTTTTGAAATTAAGCCCCCATTTTTTAAGAAATTCTAAGTTAGAACTTTTGAAAAATAGTATGAAATATAAATTCGTGTTATATTGATTTTATATTTCTGTCTCATACCATTTTAGGTATAATTTTAACCAAATATCATTTGTGATAGAAATAATTCACTTTAAAAATGACTGTATTACCTGAACATGGTGGCACACGCCTATAATCCCAGCACTTGGGAGGCTGAGGCAGGAGGATCATCATGAGTTTGAGGCCAGCCTGGGCTACATAGTGAGTTCAAGGCAAGCCTGAACTACATAGAGAGACCTTGTCTCAAAAAAAAAAAAAAAAAAAGGCAGTATTTCTTTAATAGATCTTTTGCAAATGGGAAGCTGTAGAGATGGAGGGAGGGTAGGGAAAGGGGAAGTAAAAGAATTAAAATGTGTTATGTACATGTACCAACCCCTCATAGCTATAATCATTATAAACCTCAAACATGTATTAATAAACAATTCTTTATAATGAAATGAGAAGGACTGTTTCCTTGAGGTAATTATTTTTATTCTATTTCTTGAACCATTGAAAGCACACCTTTTTTCTTAACAGGGTCAGATGTTTACTTAAGGAGAGAACTTATATGCTGGGGAGACAGTGTGAAATTACGCTATGGAAATAAACCAGAGGACTGTCCTTACCTCTGGGCACACATGAAAAAATATACTGAAATAACTGCGACTTATTTCCAGGGTGTACGTCTTGATAACTGCCATTCAACACCTATTCATGTAGCTGAGGTACAGAAAAGCAATTCTTCTACATTAAGAAATAATAACAATACTAAGAGCATTCTTTCATATGTTCCTTAAGCAGCTATGCAGCTACGTGTTTCATTGTGCTGTTTGGTTTGGAGCATTGTTTGAATACAGTTGTTATGGAAAACTGGACCATAAAATGTTTAACAAGTTAGTTTTTAAGCTTTCATTTTGGAAAGTTGATCATTTTGTCTCTGGATATAAACATACATATATACACAGACACGCACATACACACACACGCACACACATATATATCTCAAAACTATGCTACCTATTAGTAATAGATAAAAAATATTTGCCTTTTTTTAGGTTGCTTTCAATATGTACTAGTAGCCACTGTAAAGCTGAGTAGTTTACTACATGTTACAGAGATTTTGCGGGGAAGATCAAACCCGGGGCTACAAACATGGTAGACAAAGGCTCTACCACTGAGCTATGCTCTTAGCCCTCTTCTTCCTCTGTTTTATTGCCAGAAAACATTTTGCAGGAAGCCCATTAGTGACTTTTTAAACTCTAATATTGTAGCATATTGAGGCTTGTTTTAGCTGCATTGATTCAATTTTTATCAATTATTTATTTAGAAATATAAACATAACTTATGTATTCATCTTTGGACTTTTTTAAGCAACTTGTGAACAATGCCAATATTTATGAAATTATGTCTTACCTAATACAGCTTTGTAAATTTTTATCCTAAGCCGAGCATAGTAGCGTACACCTATAATCCCAGCACTCAGGAGGCTGAGGCAGGAGGATTGCTGTGAGTTCAAGACCAGCCTGGGCTACATAGTGAGTTCCAGGTCAGTCTCAACTACATAGTGAGACCCTGTCTCAAAAAAAAAAATTTTTTTTTCATCCTAAGAGGTATGATAGCTTCCTAGTTTATAATTTGGTATTCTTTGGAAATAATATGCTTATTTGAAAAATGTTTCTATAGTTTTTGCATACAATTATAATGTATACGTTTCAACTCCTATGATGAAAAATTGATTTGATTTTGAAGGATTTAGTAAACATTAGTTACACTAATAGAACATTGTTTAGTTCTAAAAATGACAGTTTCTTTCTTTCTTTTTTTTTTTAGTTTTGCCTTTAGCAGCAACAAATGTATACATATAACATTGTTATGACATGGCAATACTGAATGTTAGCACTTAATTTGCATAGTTTAAAATTACAGAATACTCTTAAGATTCTATTTGTTCACTAATAGAATTTCAGGTATTAACTTTTTAAAGCACTGTGAAAAAAATTGGAATTAATCTGATTTTTTATTATAAGCCAGTATTCTTTGATTATCAGCTAGGTAGCACTAATGTAAAACAAATTGTACAAATAGAAATTGTAAGGTGTTAGAGATTAAGAGTTTATTATCATTTGCAGACTTCAGTTTGGCCAGTCAGACCTAATCTTTGCAATTGTTAAATTGTTTACCAGCAGGGAATTTACCAATAATGATAAGCTTAATCAACCAGCCAGAAATTAACAGTCTGACTACTGACTAGAGGTATTAAAAATAAACAAAAAATGGGAAAGATTGGTAGATTTGCAATGTTGCGGGTCACATTTTTTAATGAAACTAACATTTTTCTTTTTCCTTTTTTCTCCTTTGTGTCTCTATATCTTTTGCAAAATCTAATCTTTCTTTTTAACTGTTTTACTCTGTATAAATTCTCTTGTTCCTCCATGTATTGATCTGCTTGATGCTTTCTTACATGTGAAAACAAAATTTATTTGGAAATTCTTCTTGAATGTCCACTCTGTCTTGCTATACATCTCATGTCAAATCCCCACCTAGCCTTGTCTCCTCCCTTCCGACCCATCTTGTTTTTCTTTTTCTTTTACATTTATGACCTTGCTTCTTGCAGTACATGTTGGATGCTGCTAGGAAATTACAACCCAATTTATATGTAGTAGCTGAACTATTCACAGGAAGTGAAGATCTGGACAATATCTTTGTCACTAGACTGGGCATTAGTTCCTTAATAAGAGGTAGGCTGATGAAATATATTTCCCAACTAAAACTTTACCTTTTTTAAAGTGAATTAAAAGGAATTTAAGAGCTTTATATGAAATGTTTAATAATTTTGTGTTCATTTAAATAGTCTGTATGAAATGTTTTATATAACTTTTTATCAATAAAAAATATTTACTTTGAGGCAAGACCAGAAGGATGAACTTCTAACTCACAAACAAAACACTTTTTTTGTTGTTTGAAATATGCAGATCTGTTTTTTATCTCCTGCCTGGATTTAAGACGTAATTTTTAGATTTTTTTTTCCCATAGATTTTGTACAGCCAACTCTCAATAAACAAATATTTTCTACTTGAGTGACTTCTGCTGTTAAATTATAGAACTTCCTTGCTCACTTAAACTAGTTGACATTTGTTTAATTGCTTAAAGGAATTCTAATTTTTATGTTTTTATTATATTTTTCATAATACTGATATGTTCTTTGTTTTAGAAATTAGTCATGATAGGAAGTCACTAATCTCTTCCTGGACATGAGTAATAGAGATCATTAAAATATTTTGTAATACTCTGCAGAGGCAATGAGTGCATATAATAGTCATGAAGAGGGCAGATTAGTTTACCGATATGGTGGAGAACCTGTTGGATCCTTTGTTCAGCCCTGTTTGAGGCCTTTAATGCCAGCCATCGCCCATGCCCTGTTTATGGATATCACCCATGATAATGAGTGTCCTATTGTGGTGAGCATCAGTCCATTTCTTGTTATTTACCAATTTCTCTGATGAATGTTTTGATATTTAGTCCTTGTATTTGGAGCAAGAATGTTCACAGGCTTCAAAATAACACATTAGATTTATAAGTGATTGTAGTACCTGGATTTTAGAATATTCTATTGTTTAAAAGAATTAATGTACCTCATAGATTGTGTTTATGTAATTAACCTTTTATTTTATTATGCTATAGAATGGCACTTTGCATTTGAAAGAAAGTAAACTTTTGCGTTGTTTTTGTTTTCTAGCATAGATCAGCCTATGATGCTCTTCCAAGTACAACTATTGTTTCCATGGCATCTTGTGCTAGTGGAAGTACACGAGGCTATGATGAATTAGTGCCACATCAGGTTTGATTATGTATAATTTTCTAAAATCCAGTGGCTTGCAGTTTTGAACATTTTTATCAAAAGTTCCCATTATAATTAAAATGCATAAATGACTAAGTTTTACCTTTCCCTAGATATCAGTGGTTTCTGAAGAACGGTTTTACACTAAGTGGAATCCTGGAGCGTTGCCATCAAATATGGGGGATGTTAATTTCCAAAGTGGAATTATTGCAGCCAGGTGTGCTATCAATAAACTTCATCAAGAGCTTGGAGCCAAGGGTTTTATTCAGGCAAGAAGCTGAATCTTCTAAATTTCTTTCTGAATGTGTGCAGAAAAATTTCAGTACTAACCTAGTTGCTCTTTCTGTTTCTCAGGTATACGTAGATCAAGTGGATGAAGACATAGTGGCAGTAACAAGACATTCACCTAGTATCCATCAGTCTGTTGTGGCTGTATCTAGAACTGCTTTCAGAAATCCCAAAACTTCATTTTACAGCAAGGAAGTACCTCAAATGTGCATCCCTGGTATGCAGTCTAAAAATGTTACTGTAATTATGTATTAAATTACACAGGTACTATAATATTGAATTGTCATTATATGTTATGTAGCAGTGCAAGTGTGGATGTCTTTGAGATGTGGAAATGGAAACTTTAGATTGTTTTTTTACTGCATGGGATAAAATCTGAACAGAAATAGTGTCAGATGTTTGAGTGTTTAAAATATTTTTGTTGGGCCTGGGATTTAGCTCAGTGGTTCAGCACCTGCCTCGCAAGCACAAGGACCTGAGTTTGATCCCCGGTGCCAAAAAAATAACAAAAAAATTTTTGTTTACATTTTAACATACAGTATTCCTTTTGCTTATATGTATTTACTGGACATGTATCTTTTGTCTTTATGCTGTATAAATAGTCTATATATATGTATGTATACACATGAACACATATGTGTGTTTAAGTGTGGATTGTTTATGTAGACACAAATGGAAAATAGTTTTAATACTTGAGACTCTTCATAATCCATCTTCATAAGCATCCTGGCCCTATGCCACTCTACTATTCCATCCAAATAGATATTTTCTATGTTCCCCAAGTAAGCTCACTTGTATTTGTATATACAATGTTCATCCCTATCAAGGACTAAAGTTCTACCTCCTTTGAGAAACCTATAAGTACTCAATGATCTCTTTTTCTCCTAAACATATAACAGTCATAATTATAGCTCTTCTTTGACACCTAATTATGAAATACGTCCAGGTGTGGTGTGGTGCACACCTATAATCACAGCACTCGGGAGGCAGAGGCAGGAGGATTGCTGTGAGTTTAGGGCCAGTCTGCAGTACATAGTGAGTTCAAGGTCATCCTGAGTTGCATAGAACCTCTCTCAAAAACAACAAAAATTAATTATATAGTATGTCCCTGAGATATGTCCTTATTGTCACTCACTTTTTTCCTACACGTGTGTATTTCCTATTATAGATTGTATATTACAGCGTACCTTGCTCTTGTATAAGCAGCAACTTCCAACTTTGTTGGCTTATGGAGTGAAGATTCCCATAAAAAACACATTTTATATTTGTTGCTACTTGCTAAATATGCATAATTCCAATTCTTAAAAATTATCAACTTTAGTAATTTTACGATTAAATCTTCACTGTTTTGAGTATTCAAAAATTTATATTCAATAATCTTGTCTGATCTTTGCTTATGTTTATAGCTTTCTGTTTGTTTTGTATTTTTTGGTGCTAGAGATTGAACCCACAGCCTCACATTTGCAAAGTACATGCTCTACCAGTGAGCTACGTACACTCCCTGCAGCCATAGTTACCTTTACAGAACTATCACTGTACAATATCTCATTTTTTTGTCACTGATCATTCATAAACATTTCTATTTGTCAATCTATAAAATTGTGATTTTTACTATATCTCATTTTGTTTGGTTAATATTCAATTTTTAATATTCTTTAGAATGCTTAATGGTGTTCTTATTTAAGTTTTGAATGTATACTAGGAATAATCTTTTGTTAAAAACTTTTATATGTTTCTAGGCAAAATTGAAGAAGTTGTTCTTGAAGCTAGAACCATTGAGAGACATACACAACCTTATAGAAAGGATGAGCATTCAATCAATGGAATGCCAAATATCACAGTAGAAATTAGAGAACATATTCAGGTATTTGGGGCTCTCGTCTTTCTACTATATGTAATATTTTAAGGACATTAAAATTATTTGTTCAATGGATTTTATACCTTTTTTTCAAGCTCAATGAAAGTAAAATTGTTAAACAAGCTGGAATTGCCACAAAAGGGCCCAATGAATATATTCAAGAAATAGAATTTGAAAACTTGTCCCCAGGAAGTGTTATTATATTCAGGTATGTTGATTAGAGTTCAGACTGTTGACTCATATTTAAAACAGTTTGCATATCTTCTTAACCTTGAATAAATTACTCTTAAAAATTAACAACCTTTTATTAATGTTATTCAGGGTTAGCCTTGATCCACATGCACAAGTTGCTGTTGGAATTCTTCGGAACCACCTGACACAGTTCAGTCCTCACTTTAAATCTGGGAGCCTTGCTGTTGACAACTCAGATCCTATTTTAAAAATCCCATTTGCTTCGTAAGTATGCCTTATTTTGTAGAAATTTGCCACTTAAAGAATTGGTGTGTTACCACTCGCCTGATTTAAGCAGGATTTTTTAGTTAATTTATTTTTTTGACTCTTATGATTTAAGCAGTTTTGAGGATCCTCTTTATCTTTTTTGGTACTGGGGATCGAACTCAGGACCTTGCATATAAAAGCAGGTGCCGTGCCGCTGAGCTAAATCCCTGGCCTAATCCTCTTTATCTTTGCTACTCATTGTGGTCCAAGGACCAGCAGTGTCAGCATCTATTATTGTCAATATTTTTCCCTGTTGCTTTATCATTTGTGGGTGTATTTACATGGGCGCCTTCTTCTGCCATGCACTTTTTCTCTGAGATACAGATACGTCTGTCTCTCATACACATACACTTTTTGTGAATTGTTTGAGAGTTGCATACACCATACCTTTTAGCACATTTGGTTTTTTGTTTGTTTGTTTGTTTGTTTGAGACAGGGTCTTCCTATGTAGTTCAGGCTGGCTTTGAACTCACTGTGTAGCCCAGGCAGGCCTTGAAATTGTTGTGATCCTCCTTGCAGTTGTGGTCAGCCTCTGAGTGCCAGGACTATAGGCGTGCACCACCACACCCAGCTCCCACCACATAGTCTGGCTCCTGCCACCGTGCCTGGCTCCATCTTTTTTTTAAAGTTTCAACATATTTTATTATATGGCTGTATTGTAATTAGTCATTTTCCATTCCTTAGACATTTAGAGTGCTTCTGATTATTCCCTGCTGTGTATGTCCTGTTACAGTCATCTTTTAACAATTCCTTAATTATTCCCTTATTTTGTGGTACCACCTCACACTGAAGACTATGGGTTTTGAAATTACGACATAGGGTAACTTCAGCTTCATCATGGCCAATATGATCATGGGCAATTTATTTAGAACTGTCTTCATCTCAGTTTTCAATTTGGAAATCAGGCTTGTAATACTACCTACCTCTTAAAGATTAAGATAGGATAACATATACAAAGCAACTAACACAATATCTAGTACATAGTAAATGCTTGACACATACTTGCTATTGGTAGTACTAGGATGAAATTCCAGAAATGGAATTTTGGAGTTAGACTGTATCATATATATATGTATATATTCATATAATATATATATATATAAAATCATATATTATATATTCATATATATTCACATGAATATATATATATATATATGACAGTACTACCAAGTCCCCTCCAGAAGGATTGTATTGAGTATCTTCAGATCTGTGTAAGAGTGCCCACCTTTACAAATACTGAATATATATTGTTATACAGTGATACCTTGGTTCACAAACTTAATTTGTTCTATGATTCTGGAAAAGATGGCCATATTGCAGTTGTGTTTGTCACCCAAGCCAGAGTTTGCAAACAAAACTAAATGTTTCCTAGCAGTTCTCTTTGCAAACCAAAGTGTTTGCAAACATAAGCATCTGTGAGCCGAGGTACCACCATAATGTAATATTTAAGAGCATGAAATATAGAACTAGACTATCTGGGTTTGAATTCTATTTAAGACCCTTATTAGGTTTAAGAAGTAAGGCCATGTACAAGTGTCTTAGTCACTTTTCCTTGTTGCTGGGACAAAATACCCAATACCCACAACTTAAAGGAGAAGGGGGTTATTTTGGATTATAATTACAGTCCCTGTTCATTTACCTCCAAGACAGAAAAAGGATGGCAGAGGGGGCATCATGAATTAAAAGTTGCTTAACTCATGGCAACAGGAAGCAGAGAACAATAAAGGATCTCAGAAAGAGATATGTCCTTCCAGATCACACCTCCAATGTCTTGCTTCTTCTTCCCAGACTTCACCTCCTAACGGCACATTCAGCTCTAAATTTTTCAGTTTTTTGAACACGTGAGCCTTTCAAGGGACATTCCAGATATAAAGTATAACATTCCACCCTCATGCTCAAAAGACTTATGCCCATCTCTTTATGCAAAAGTCATTTAGTGCATCTCTGAGAGTCACCAAAGTTTTTAACAGTTTCAGCATTGTTGAAAAATCCAAGTCCAAAATCTTCGAGACTCAAGGCGAGCCCCTGTAAAAATCAAAAAGAAAAGTTATCAACATACAATGGTATAGTGTAAACATTCCCAGTCCAAAAGGAAATAAAAGGATAAAAAGGAAAGGGACCAAAACAAGACTGAAATCCAGCAGGGCAAGCATTAAATTTTACAGCTCCATGTGCAGCACCTAGAACAAGTTGTGGTGAGATGTGAGCTCCAGTGGGTTTGGGTGTCTTTGCTCTTTTAACATTACTGGTTGCAGCCTTCTTAACATCTCTCTTGGAGTGATTCTGCTACTTGTGGCTTTTCTTAGCAGATGCTCCACATTCCTGGCATCACCAACTTTCTGAGGGATCCCCTGCACTTTTGGCTTCACTCTTAGAGCTTCACACATTGCCCTCTCGGGAGCAAACTGCCTTAATCTCCCAAGCCTCCTTCTGAAATCTGGGTGGAAGCTTCCCTCACCCTAAAACTCTTGCATTCTGCATGTCTGAAAAACCAGAACGATGAATGATGAATGACACTATGTGAATGATGCCAAAGTGTGCTGCTTGCTAGAGCAATAGGCAGGCCCCTTTGGATCATGGTTATAGAGGCCTCTGAGTGCCTGGATGACTGAGCATTGTGAAAGTGTTCCTAGGGAATCAGTTCCATAGTTGTCCTTTTTGAGCAGGGAACACAGATGCTCTCTTCACAATTGAAGACTTTTCTGTTTTTGTGCCTTGAGCCTGTGAAGGGTTGGGCCTTGCTGACTCTTGAGATGCTTTGAAGCTATCTTTCCTATTGTCCTTAAAGTGTTTGGCTTCTTAAAATACGCATTTTTTCAACTGTGCTCTCCTTAGCCCCAGCTTTACAGGCACTTCCTTTCTGAGGAAGCTAAAAACTTTTCACATAAGCTTTTTGGCCCTAATTTTCTCTGTAGATCTGGCTAAAAGCTGCCAGCAGTACCCATACCACAGCCTGAACTTCAGGGTGCCTTGAAATTTTGTTCACCATTAATTAGTCCATTTCTGTAATCTCACTCTCCTACAAATTCTCAGGCAATAAGCAAAGAGTAGACAAATTTTCTGGCAGAATATAACACATACAGTCTCTAATCCAATTGCCAAAGGAGTCCTTGCTCCCAGCTGCAATTTCCTGAGCCTAACCTTTACTGTCTGCATTTCTACCAACATTATGGTCTTCTGCACACCAATCAGTTCAGTTTACAGCATCTTAGGGCTTCTTTAGCTAGCATCTCCAAACCTTTCCAAACTTCTCCCGTGAACCACACCCAAAGGTTTCTAAACCACATGATCAGGTATAGCCACAGCACTGACCCGACCTCTCTAGTATCATCACAATCTGTCTTAGTCACTTTTCTCATCCCTGGAATGAAATACACAGCGTTGACACCTTAAATGATGAGAGGTTTATATTGTTTAACAGTTATACTCCCTGGCAAGCTGGCTCCATGACAAAAACAGGATAGCAGAAGAATATGGCATAGGAAAAGGTGCCCAACTCAGAGCAGCCAGGAAGCAGAAAGCGAAGGGAGGAGGAGCTGGACAGGGAGATAAACCTTTCCAGGTTATGCCCCTAGTAACTTACCTCTTCCATCTACACTTTTAACACATTCAGCTCTAAACTTCAGTGGGTTAATCCTCTAATGAGTACTGTGCCCCCATAATCCAATTTCCTTCCAAAAGGCCCACCTCTAAAGAGCTGAGCCTTTGGAAGGACATTCTAGATATAAACCATAACAAATTACTTAATAGAGATAATTACAGCACCTCTCATGGAAAATTGTAATTATTTATGTAAAACACTTAGAACAATTTAACATGGTGATCATAATTGTTAGTTATTACTAATTAAATCGGTAAATATAAAATACTTTAAAATAGCATCTCTCTTTCTCTTTCTCTCTCTCTCTCTCTCTTTTTTTTTTTTTTTTTTTTTTT